TACTGGGTAAAAGACACAACCCTCAAACGGTTCTGTCGAATTTTTTCTCCGTTTTTTGAGACTTTGGACACATTTGGATGCTTTTAGAAATCTACAGAACCTTTTTGAGGGGTTCTGCAAACCTCCTTTTTTTTCAGAGTAGCGTACAGATGGGACAACGTATTGAGATTAGTCTCATAGTCAACCGTACTTACACCCTTCACAATACAAACTGTATAGAGCTTACATATAAACAAGTTCAATATGTTCTATTGATGCATGGTCACTCCGAGTTATTTACTCAGCATCAGCGTCCTAAGACATGAGTCTTTTAAAATACAGCGACACAGCTCATGCAAATACATTCGAGAACCATTTTCAGAAAAAATTTGTAAACTTAATTTCCTATGTACAGTGGTATATCAGAACATTCTAAATCTGTGGATCCTCAATAATAGGTTAGGTCCAAGAAAAAAGGTAACAAGCTTCATTGTTCATGAAGAATACATCGTGACTCAAAAAGACAGGATTATACGCTGTAAACTTGACAGAAGACTGCTTTAAAACACTTTAGACTCACAACATCAATGCTATTCACTGTGGAATACCTGATTTCGTTGTTGTTTTCAACTTCACTTGAGATGATGATTTTAAGGGTTCCGCTTTTGGTCTGGGAATAACCCGGACAGGATTGAGTTCTGGTGACTGTGGTTCATCTAAAATAGAAAAAAGCAACGATATTTGTATCTATGGAGTGTGCATGTAAGAATGTATTACGGTAAGTTCCTCCTACATCCCACCAAAACATTGAGAATAGATTACCTTGAATTTGCATACATTTTTCAACCATTTGGATTATCTCAGAACTGCTTGGCCGATCTTGTGGTTCTTGCGCCCAACATTTATTGATAACCACACGAAAGTTCGCTGGCGTATTTTCTGGCATCGGCAAACGGTTACCAGCAAGAACAGATGCACGAATATTATCGTTTGCATGATTCTCATAAGGTCTGTTGCGTGCAGCTAATTCCCAGTAAGTTATTCCCAAGCTATAAATATCACTCTTTTCTGTATGTCTTTCCAAACGAAGTATTTCAGGTGCACTCCATGGTAATGTAATTACTAGATTAGGCTTGCCGTAGGTTTCACGTATTGTCTCATCCCGCGTTCGAGCTACACAAAGCCCGCGACTTTCTGCGC